TAAGATTAATTAAAAATCTATTAAATTCGATATCAAACTATTAATTTCTATTTCTTTTTATGTGAAAATATTACTTCTTATTATTATATTTATTTATTATTATTTATTTTATATTTCTATTAAAAATAAAAATTTTTTAATAATTATACTAACTTATTTTTTTATCAAAAATCATATTGAAATGCAATAAAATATACGCGGAATCATATTATTTTAAATTATAAAATACAAATGGAAATACTTAATGACAGTTAGAACTTAAGGAAAATCGATATTCCGACTCAAGTGTCGGATAACAATTGCCCAGTTACTAGCTGCAATACTTTATACTGAGATATTAAATATATTTATTTTATAATATTATCAATTTTTTTCTCAATATATATGTATATTTTCACGATTTTTATATTTAAAAGAATATAGAATTGTAAAATTCTATTGTAAAATTGTAAATTTCTTATTTTTTTATACGAATGTTGTTATTCATTTTTGTAAGAATTTAAAATGATTGTTATTTTAATAAGAATTTTTTACATATGAATATTATGCAATTTTGTATTAATATAAAATATAATTATATAAAATTATATAATATTTTTAAATATCTCTGAAACATAATTTTGAAACATAATCCAATATACAATAATGTTATACAATAATGTTATTAAATTTTCATAAATCACAATTTGATTTAATGATTAAATCACATTAATTTGATTTAAAATTTTTTACAATCAAACTATGAAATTTTTATGATAAACATACAAAATCGAATTTTTAGATACTTATCGAATATAATTAGATACTTATTTATTTAAATAGATATTTATTCTTCAATCTTCAAATATTATAATGAATAATATTTTTTATTTTTTTGAATATCTATAGACATTATTGTAAAAACATATTGTAATAATATAATATAAATAATAAATATAAAAAATTTATTGATTCATGTATTAAAAATTAATTTGAATATTATAAGATAAATAAAAAAAAAATGCATTTTGAATTTATAAAAATAATTAGATACATTACAAATTTGAATTATTAAATTAAAATAATATATTTTATGAAAAAAATTGAATTATCAATAGAAAAAAACATCAATATACGTAGAAGATAATAAAGAAAAATAATGAATCCAAGATAAAAATAAAACAGAATACATTATTAATAAAAAATAATTTTTAATATCTTAAATTACTTAAATATTAAAACCATGAAGATATCAAAATTCTTAACTTTTAAAATTGCTATTTTAATTATAAATTACTTATAAATTTAATTATTTAAATATTACCACAATACTTAAGTACTAACGTAAAGAATAGCTATAATAATATAATAATAAAATTATAACTTCATTTAATTTTCAATATTATTTTATTATATCAAGTTAATTAAATAAATTGTACATATTTATAAAATAATATATTTATTAAAAGAAAGTTTGAATTTATCTTTTTTATAATTAAAAAAGATATACATTATTTAACATTAAAATTAAACATTTATTATAAATATTTTTATGAATAATTGTAATTTTTTGATTTAATTATTTCATTTGTAATTATTATTAAAATTTGAATTTTGATGTTATAATATATATATGCTAAATAAAAATAATTGTCAAACTAAAATAGTTTGTAATAGAAATGATCTTCGTCAACTTTTTATTTTTTTCACAATTGTAATCTTTATTCATAATAATGTAATAAATTAAATTTTCATTAACAAAATAATAATTAATGATTATCATATTATTTGTAATTCTAATTAAATCATTAAATTATGAATTATATAATTGAAATTATATAATTATGAGTTCTTGAATTATAAAAATTCCCGCGTAAAGTTACACATAGAAATGTTTATGCAAAACAATTTAAAACAAATCAAAGAAAAAAAAGAATTAACATTAATGATCATCATATAATATTTTACGAATATTGGACACATTCGTAATTAACATAAATTTTATTTTCTACACAGATCAAACATGCTTAAAAGAATTTAATAAAGATTTTTATTATAATTATTATAAATATTTTTTTTTAGTATATTTAAGAATAAAATATTTATGTAACATATAATTAATAATTTGTTATATTAACTGTCATTTACTCTATATAGAGAGAAAGCCATTGAATTATTAATAATTATCATTCATAGTATTCTGTTTCTTAAATGTGTTAAGTTTTAATAATTTGATGCAAAAAAATGTTCTGTTAAAATTTTATCAAAATTAAATTAATTTTCACAAAACTATATCTTAAAAGATAGAATAAATTTGTATTGAATTTTCGCTTTTTTGATCATTTCCCACGTGATATTTTCAGCCATAACCTCTACACAATTATAACCTCTTATAGATATAAGTAGACACATACAAAAAATTTCTTATTTGCTTATTTAAGAAATTTTGAAAAGAAACTTCATTCATTTCATAATTTGTAAAATGAAGTTTCTTAATAAAAATATAAAATAATAAAAATTAATTGTTACAAAATTAAATATTTTTAATTTCTTTTTTCCTTTTTTAAAAGTATTATATTTAAAATTTAAGATAAATCAAAATTGCATTGAATTAGTTTTAACAATTTTTTTAATTCATTATTTATTTCGGTATATACTTATATTATTATTGGATAAGAATAAACACTTACCCTTTGTAATAATTCATGATAATTTTGAAGAAATTCCTCACAGACCGGACAAGTAGATGAAATACAATCATGTTTCAAAAATCCTGAATTTTTTAATGTATACATTATTTCGGAAGTAAAAATCAATAAAGAATTATATTCACTAAATTTTCTTCTTTTAATACTGAAAAATTGAACTAAAATTTAACAGATTCAATACTTTTAAAATCGCGAAACAAGCATAAGAATAGATATGAAAACATAAATAATAATAAGCAAAACTTGTCGAATACAAGAGAATTAGATATAACGAGCCTCGCCATTAGTCAGTGATTTGAGAGCTCGGAGTCCAATCTCAAGACTAAAAAGTGCCATCGAGAAATAGTATAAGAATTGAAACAAAGATATCTTTCGTTTAGTCGAGAAATCTCCCCTCCCCTTCCCCACTATTTTCTTGCAATATCTACAGTGTGCGTCACATTTCTTAAAGTAATTTCAATATTCATCATTAAATTAAGTTTTATAATTTGTTGAAATATTTGTTATAATTTAATGCTTAATTTATATTATTGAAAAATCTATTATCTATATAACTATTTTATCAATATATTAATAATAAATATATGAAAACATAAAAATATGAATAAAAAAATTTTATGATTATATTATGATGTTAATAAAATTATTTTCGAATGAATGAAATTTGTAATTTGAAATTAAATAATTTTTTCTATATCTTTGTTAAAATATTTGATTAAAAAATTTATTTTCAAATATATTAACAATGATGAATAACACAATATTATTGCAAAAATTTAATTCCTTGTTAATAGTCCAATTTAGAGCAATTATGTATTGACACATTAATATATTTGAAAAAGACATAAGCACGTAGACTCTCTTCATGTTTATTTCGATATAAAAATCATCATAAAAGATGAATTATTCAATATCAATAATCACATAGAGCAATTAAATATTTTTTATAATAGCCATAATAATAGCCATAAATTTACAAATAAAATAAAAAGATGGAGTATAAAACATAAAAATGAAATTTTGTTTATGTAATATTGATTTTTACGTAATATTTATGGCTTATATGTAGAAAAATATATATGTAAATATATATTTATATATACTATAGATCTATGGATATTATATATGTTATTATGATATTAATATATGTATACAACTAGCTATACACACAATATACACAACACAACACAACACACACACACGCGCGCGCGCGCGCGCACACACACAAACATTTCAAACATAGCACATGCATTATATGAATAATTAAAAATTCTATAACAATATATCATCCAAAACAATAAAAAATCGAATAATAGATCTTCATTCAATAATGAAATGTGTCATTCTACGATATCATTCAAAATAATATAAAATTAATATATATAAAATAATATAAAATAAATCTTTATTCAAAAATATTATTTTATTTTAGCAAAATACTTAAAATTTTTTAATTTATGAATAAAATTAATTTTTGAAAAATAATTATGTACCAATAATATATAATATATATTTTATAAAAAAAATGTGATTT